TGCAGGGGGGGGGAGGGGCGTGAGGAGCCGGCTGGAGCCCAGCTTACTCTGACTCCTAGGTCCGCACCCCTGTTGTGTGAAACTCACACATTTGCATTTCTGGGTGGGGGATGGGGAGGCGAGAGGATGTTCACAGGCTGAAGGGCAATGTCTCCATCTGGAATCGTAGCTGCTTAGAGGGGGGAGGAATCTGGGGTCATCTAGGCTGAAGGTTTAATGCCTTTACTGAGCTGTAACTCATACCGTACAATTCCAATGCCGTTTTCTAGGCAGAGAACCCTTTGGTTATACGGGATTGATGCTGAAGCCCAGTATATGAAAGAAAAGGGCCCCACAGTGCTGACATCTGAAAGGTGTTCCATCTCACTGCAGCAGGGGTATGGACAGATGGTGGCTCTTACTCGGAAGCAGGGTGCGCCTGGCCTGTAGGCTCCTTCTGTATCTGCTGAGGGGGGAAAGGCCACACAACTGCAAATTTCTTGCCTCAAGCCCCCCATCAGAAATCCTGCTGGACCGGTCCCACAGGGTGCTGGTGAGGATTAGATGATCTGCACAAATTAGCTACTCCCCCACGCCTTCTTTACTAACCCAGTCCTGACTTTGTGTGGGGTGGCCTTCCCAGCTGACACATCGAGTATGCTGTCAGACTAAGTCAATCAGGACAATCCTGTCCCCTGAATTCCTGACTTCCCTTGCAGCCAGGGGTGGTCATATGACTCTGGCTAACAGTATGTACACAGAGGTACGATAGGGGTTCTGGGTAAACTTCTGCTTCTGTAATAAATATATAGATGCCCTCACCGTGCCTGCTTCTTCCTGCCTTCAGTGGGCAGTGCACAATGATTTAGAGATTTCTTCATTCGATTTTCTCAACCCTGGTACCATTCAATTCTGAGTGGCAGAGACTGTTGTCTCCATTTTACAGATGTGGAAACCAGGGCTCAGAGAGATTAAGTCTCCTCCCCACGGCAACATAGTTAGCAAGTGGTAGAGCTGAGATTCAAGCCCAGGCAGCCTGTCTTCAGCCTATGTGCACTTAACTATTCTGTTTTTCTGCCTCTGAACTCTAGTCCTAGAAGGGGAAGACAACGGGTCTTCTTTTCAACCCAGAACACCAGACCCCAAGCATCAGAAACCAAATAATGATGGTATCATTTCTCTGCTCATCCACTGCCTACTGGGCAGTGTCCAAGTTCCCTGGCATGGCATCCTCGGCTTCCCCAACTCTGGCCTCTGCCCATCTCTTTCCAGCCCATTCCCCCAGAACTTAGCTGTCGTTCCCCTGAACTTGGCCACGTTCCCTCCCTGATTCTCTGTTCCTAGGGCCCTCCCATGCACTTTCCTGCCTCCAGCCCTCTGCTGAAGCTGTGCATTCTCTTTCAAACACCCATATTGCCCCTGCATGCTTGGTAAATGCGTATTCATCCTTCATGACCCAGAAAAGCTTTTCCTGACACCTTGGCTGGGTTCTCGGTGCTCCCACACCCCCTGGGCTCATCCATCAAAGCACGTGGGGAGTAACTGTTGTTCTGGCTTGCCCAGCAGCTGTTCCCTTGCTCTGGAGAACTGCCCTCCCCTTATACACTTGGCTCTGGGGCCTGCCAATTCAAACGCTCTGCCCCCAGGCACTGGAGAGGGCCGTGACCCCAGCCTGTCCATCATGATCCTCCATCTCCCCCGTGGGACTGTCTGGCTCACGAGCCAAGCCAGGCCCTGTAGGTTATTCAGTCCAAAGCTGGGAGAAACTTGTTATCCTCTGTGGTCACTGAGCTGGGACCACAGAATTCATGAGCAGTTTGTGGCCAGGAAACCCTCCCCAGTACATGGAGAAAACCTGTCTGTGGTGGTGGAGAATGAGTCCATGAGAAAGACAGGTACTTCTCGATTCCCTGAGAGGACTTCCCCCTGCCTGGAGCCAGTGCTTCCACGGCACTCAAGCACTGCTGAATGCCTTCCCGATAGCGTCTTCCTCTTCTTCCTTGCTGTCATGCCCGAATGATTTTGTCCCTGCTCTTTGAGCCTTGTGATCCCAGGTAGCGATTCTTGACTAGTCTAACGCTTGGACTCTAAGCTAATCATGCTCTTCCCATCCCCCTTACTAAGGAATGGTTTGGACTTGGGATGTGACCCAATCTGGCCAATAAAATATGACAAAAACTGCACGGGGGATTTGGGGAAAAACATCCCTCTCTGATGAAAAAGAGACAGTTTCCCTTTTCTGTCTCTGAACATGGCTGTGCGAGGAGTCAATGCTAGGGACTGTGGCAGCCATCTTGGGACCATGAAGGGATGAGCTAAGGGACAGGTGGACATGCTGAGAATGGTGGGGTGGGAGGACTGAAGTGACCTTGGCTCCTGAATGGAGTCACTGAGGGTCATTAACCCAACCCTCAGCCTTCTACCCCTGGGCTTGCTGCAGTGTAAGATACAAAATTTCCCTTGTTTGACAATGCTTACACAGGTTGAGTATCCCTTATCTGAAATGCTTGGGACCAGATACCTTTCAGATTATTTTGGATTTTGAAATATTTGCATATTGATAATGAGATATCTTGGAGATGAGACCCACATCTAAACAGGAAATTCAGGCCGGGCGCGGTGGCTCACGCCTGTAATCCTAGCTCTCTGGGAGGCCGAGGCAGGCGGATTGTTTGAGCTCAGGAGTTCGAAACCAGCCTGAAGCAAGAGCGAGACCCCGTCTCTACTAAAATTAGAAAGAAATTAATTGGACAACTAAAAATATATAGAAAAAATTAGCCGGGCATGGTGGCGCATGCCTGTAGTCCCAGCTACTCGGGAGGCTGAGGCAGAAGGATTGCTTGAGCCCAGGAGTTTGAGGTTGCTGTGAGCTACGCTGACACCACGGCACTCTAGCCCGAGCAACACAGTGAAACTCTGTCTCAAAAAAAAAAAAAAATAAAAATAAAAATAAACAGGAAATTAATTTATGTTTTATATATACCTTATACACATAGCCTGAAAATAATTTTATACATTATTTTTTATTTATTTATTTTTTAAGAGACAAGGTCTCGCTCCTTTGCTCAGGCTAGAGTGCAGTGGTGTGATCATGGCTCACTGCAGCCTTCAACTCCTGGGCTCAAGTGATCCTCCCGCCTCAGCCTCCTAAGCAGCTGTTACTACAGGTATGCACCATCAAGCCTGACCCTATACAATATTTTAAATAATTTTGTGCATGAAACAAGGTTTGTGTTAAGTACTTATGTGAGGCATTTTCCACTTGTGTCATGTTGATGCTCAAAAAGTTTTGGATTTTGGAGCATTTTGGATTTCAGATTTCTGGATTAGAGATGCTCAACCTGTAGTTGGATTTTCTGAACAATAAACAACAGATGCACTAAAGAACAAAACCAAGGCCGTGTGAGATAGACAGCACACAATACCCAGGTGCTGAGGGGATCCCAGGTAGGGAAGCTTCAGGTCTCAGCACAGAGGTCCCTGTGTGCCCCACCATGGGCTGGGTTGAACACCTTCCCTCCATGCTTGCTCCCATTCTAGCTCATCTCACACCACGCTGCACCGTGACCAAGGGGCCAGAGGCCAGGGCCTAGGCAGGGGGTGGCTGCTTGTGAACACAATCAGATGACTCACTGAGAAGGACCCCAGGCTGGAGGGACACAGGAAAGCTTGGAGAAGGAAGAGGTATGTGGGGAAGAGATAAGGGAGAGACACTGACCAAAGGAGGGACCACGAGGGAATGGGCCAGCTGGGGTGGGCAGAGGGGTTCCCCATGGTGGGGGCGGTCACTTACATTTTATTGGTGCCTCAAAGGACTTGGCCACTGTCACCATCACATTGGTGCCAAATACCTAGAAGAAGAGAGGAGTTTGGAGGGAAGTGAGGGGCTGGATGGGAAAGAATGGCTGTCCCCAGGGTTCCAGATGTGCGGCTGCCTGAGATCTGTGGGGATAAGGGTAGGGAGGTGCGAGGAGCTGCAGTGCAGATCTAAAGTTGAGGCAAGGTGAGCACTGATATTGGTTCTGGGCAACAAAGGGGAAATTCAGAGTATAGAAAGGACCTCCAATGGCCTAAGCCAGGCAGCCCATGTTTGTTCAGGGTTCTGTCCCTCCCAAGTGATAAAGTTCTCCAGCACCACCCACTCAAGGGGAGAAGAGGCTGCCTGGGATCAGGGAACAGGTGCCTGAGTCAGGCTGACCTCGATCCCTCTGCAGTGCCTCTCAAGAGTGAGTATGACAGGTCCCTCAGCCCAGGGCTGGTGTGCAGCCAGAGCACAGCCAGCCTCTTCCTCCTCAGTCAGTGCCCTTGCTGGGCCCGTTCATTAGCATTCTACTACCCGCGCCTGGACTTCTCTGAGTCTCAACTCCGAGTCTCGACTTGCTTGCTGAGGAGACATGGGATTAAGTAATACCCCTGCTAGGGCCACCATGAGGAAGACATGAGGGTGGTCGGAAGGCACTGCACAGAGTGTGCTCTTAGAAAGAGGTGGAATCTGTTCTCTCTGGCTCCATTTCACAGATGGGCCCAGAGGGGACCTGCTCTGGGCTCCCGACTTCCACTCCAAGGCAGTTGCTCTCCATCATACTAATGACCCTTAGGCCACAGAGGCAGGGGAGTAGGAAGGTGAAGGGGCCCCGAAGCTGGACATGCTGGGGCTCCCTGCCTGACTCACCCAGAAGACGTCGTAGATGAAGAGTCCGCCCAGCAGGATGCAGCCAGTGCTGACATTGTTCAGGTGCAGGAGCTCTACCCCGTTAACCGAGAAGGCCAGGCCGAAAAGGTTGTTGGCAATCCAGTGCTGGGGAAAGACAGGAGTGAGACCAGCTTGCTGTGCCCCAACCCTGCCCTGTCACCCCAGCCTCCCCTTCTGCCCAGGACTTGGCTACTTACCTTCCTCAGCAGGTACCAGACACCAACGATGGTGCTCAGGCCCAGGCACACCAGGTCCTTGGTGTCAAACTCGTAATTGATGATCTCTGAACAGAGAGGCCGAGTAAGTCCACTCCCCGGGGTGGGGCTGCCCCTCCCACCTGTCAGCCCCTGGACGCAGGAGGGCATGGCTGTGGGCACTGTCAGAGTCCCACAGGCTAGGGGGCTAAGCCTCGCCTGCCTCAGATCGGTAAGAGTTTTAGGAGGGGAGAGAGGTCACTGGAGCCACCCTCAACTCCTCCAATATCCTAGAGAAGGGAACGGAGGCCCAGAGAGAACACAAGCCTGGTGCAGGGTCAGTGGGAGGTGGTCCTTAGTGTTGAAAGTACAGGACTTGCCACTTGTAGCTGGGGCTGGGTAACCTTTGGGGAGGCAGTTCCCTCTCTGAGCTTGTTTCCTCATCCGTGAAAAGGTGATAACAGCACCTCCCTCACAGGGCTGCTGTGGGGAGTAAGTAAGACAGTCCTTACAATGCACTCAGCACAATGCCTGGCACACAGCAGGTGCTCAGTCAATGCCAGCTGCCTTTGAGCCCAGGTTTTTAGCAAGGTCCTAGTTCATTCTGGAACCTTTCTACTTTGCCGCCAAAGGAATCGAGAAGTTTGCTGGCAGTTCTAGTTCACTAGCAGAGCAGGAAGAAGAAGGTGAGAGATGGAGGCCTGGAGAAAAGGCGGGAAGGAGTCCCCAAGGCTGCTCTTGTAGGGGGGCCCTCTGGCAGACATCCTCAGAGCCATTCTTGATCACTTGCAAATAAGGGAGCCCAGAGAGGAGATGAAGCTTGCCCAGAGTCACAGAGTGCAGCTGCTCCTTTCAGATTCCAGAGTGTAGCAGACTGCTTGTCCCCCAACTTCTGTTTTCTCCACTGTGGTAACAGCACCCTGATTTTTTTCCCTTCAAGTATCTGTTAAATTTACTTAGCATAACCACAGAGGTATTGTCTTCACGCTGTCACACACACACACAAACACATATAAAGTACAATATCAATATTTAGCCCCCCAAGTGCATTCCTTCTGAGGCTTATTTGTAGGTCTTCATGTGCCACAGCCCATCATTTAAGTAATGGATATTTTCAATGCCAATTCCTTTGTTGACTTTCTCAATATCTTCTGCAGACATCTTCATGACCCCAATACACAGAGCATGCTGTTTTCCTTCTGCCATGACTGCAACAATTGTATCGACCGCAGCAGGGTAAAGCTTAGCTCCAGGAGAAGTTAAACCGGGACACATGATATTTGCTCCACTAAGTACAAATTTGATGGCTCCTTTATCAACCTGCTGGTGTGGCAGGATAAAAGGATATTTATGAAGTAGCCTTAGAGTTGGATAAAAAGGCCCTTTTCTTTGTCTAAAAAATAGTAATTCGCCATTTACCGTAAGTATTTCCGTATGCTCGTGGCATCGGACTATTTTGACAGGATCTTTCTTAGGCATGATTTGATTAAGCCATGGTTCAATACCTGGAAACTGCTCTATCAGTTGGTTCTTAATACCCTTAATAATTGAGGTTTTCAACTGGATGCAGTTGGACACATTTTCCTTTTCATCGAATTTCTTGAACATGATCCAACGTGAACGGGGCGATGGCAGGGAAAGGCCCGGAGAGGGAAAGAAACGGAACCGGCAGCGGTCGGGCAGCGTCCCTTACACCAAACCCTGCGCCGATGGTCTGAACCGTTGTCGCCAACCGGAAACCGAGGCAGGCAGCCGCGCTTTACGGCTCCATGAAATCTGACTACTTCCGGTCCTCCGACCTCCACGTCATGGCGGCGCTCTGTCCGCTCCTCCTCAGACTACCGAGTCCTCTTCGGTGGGAGTCGATGAAAGGGGCGGGACTTGGAAAGCAAAAAGTGATACAATTCCGGGGCACTCCGTGATGACTTCCAACCGGACATGAGACGGACTCAAGGCCATTTTCCAGCTTCCCCTCTGCAGCTTAATTGGCCCCGGATATGAATGCCTCGCTTTCCCTCTGGCTGGACAGTGGAATGATGGTCACCATCGCGGATCCAAGGACCACCCCTGAGCATGGCGGAGCGTAAGACAGATGGGGGCTAGAACCCGGAAGGCTCTGTGGCCGCAAGCTTAGCTTTCTTAATGAAACTGTGCAATCATTTATTTTACACAGATGCACTTGAGATGCAAAAAAGAATCGCATAAAATCACTGCTTTCTAGGGACAAGGCAGAATACGCCACGTGCCACTGTGTGAGAGAGTGCTGGATATCTTCCACTTGGTCAAGCCATTGATAATCTTATTACAGCATTCAAATCCGTACCCTAACTAACCTGTGAATCCTAGGCTCCTCCCAATTCCGATAGTTTTCATTTTTGAAAAAGAACTGTGGAACTCCCTTTTCAAATCTTAGGTGGAATGTAATCACACTAAAAATAAACACAATAAAAATAGTTGCAAAGGTCAACTTTTACTAAGTGCTATGAGTCAGGCAGTGAGCTGAATGCTTTGCACTCATCATTTATTTGCAGTCCTAACAACATGCCCATGAAGGAGGCAGTAGATTATCATTTTCATTTTACAAATGAAAAAAAAAAACAACAAAAACATTCAGTGCTCAGAGAGGTAAGGCATTCACACAGGGTCCCATGTCTAGGTAGCAGCAGAGCTGGGATGTGAATCCAGGCCATGAGATCCCAGAGTCCACCTCTTTCATCACTTGCTCTACTGGAGAACCCCAATATTGGAAAGACAAAGGGAATGGTGGTGGAAAACACCCAGGGCACACCACAGGGGAAAGTGGGCAGCACTGACCTTCCTTGCTCTCCCCAGAGCCCTGGGTGAAGAGCAGCTGGTACTGTCGATTTGGAAAGTTGGCTGGAAAAAACTTACTCATGAAGGGGCTGGAAGGAAAGACAAAGCAGGTCGGCAAACACAGCCCCCATGGGCAATCATGGCCCTAACACTACTCCCCCCAACAGCCACTTACAGCTGTTATCTCCTGGCACCCTCACAACTGCCCTGATAGTTAGGTGTTATTGTTTCCACTCTATAGACATGGAAATAGGCCCTCAGAGAATAAGTAACTTGCCCAGGGTCATGCAAGGAGCCAATATCTAAGCTGAGACTCCAACCTAGGTCACTGAACTCCTAGTGATTCCCAAACTGCCTTTTTGTTACCACTGAAGAAATGCAAAGCAGAGGGAGACAGACTTTCATGTAAAATATAGGTTTTGGGAGATCAATGGATCCCAAAGTCTGGACCATGCACCACCTGTATGAGTCTCTTGTCAAGCATATTCCAGGATTCCCTTCCAGACCTATGAAGTCAGATGACCTGATGGTCACCTCTACCCCACTCCATGATCTGTCATTCTGCTGTCCAGCAACAGGCCTGAGATTTTTATAAACTCAGCTGGAATTGATCAGTCAGATGAATCTCAGCCCCCCAGGGCATGATCACCCTCACATTCACTCTTTCCACAAAGGCTTCTATTGCTCAAGATCAGCTTGGCTTCACCTCTAGAAATATTCTGATTACCCAGCCTGCCCTACTTCCGGGCCAGGCAGGGATGGAGACGTTCTTCTCTGGATCATCTTCAGAGAGAGATTAGCAAACCAGGGCCTCTTGATCCAGCTGCTCCCAGCAGTGTTGCGGAATGGCTACAAGCTTAGGTGGCAGCCCAGCCCTGAAGCCTGCTTTGCCATGCACCAGCGGTGTGGCCCTGGGTGAGCCACTTAAGTGGCTCAGTCTCCTGCGCCCCAGTCTCTTTTCTTGTATGTAGGGATAATAATACCACCTTCTAAAAGGGTTACTGTGAAGATATGAGAAGGCAGGTGAGAAGCTTAGCCCAGCACTAGGCCTGCAGCAGGGATGCAGGAACTGTGAGCTTCTGTGGCGCACTCCTCAAGAGCCTGAGCTCAAAAGCATTTGGCATCAGATCAGGCTGATAACGACTAATGAGGCAGGCAAATCCAGGAATGGTCCTCTCAACTAACAGGCCTCCATTTCCCCACTTTTCAAACAGCTGACCCCTCCCAACCTGTGGGGCTCATGGTATGAATGATGTGGGAGGGCTTTGTGAACGGAGATTGGCAGACACGAGGGTAGAGTCAGGAATGGATTTCCACAGCAGGGCTCTGAGATGGGAGGCAGAAGCTGGTGGAGGAGGCTGGAAGCTACTTTCAGCTTGGTTTGCTGAATCACTTTCGAGGCAGTCTGAAGTCAGGGCGTGTGTACAGGTATGGGCAGAGGCAGAGAGGCGGCCTGAGGAGCTAAGCCCTTCACCCAGTTTAGTTGGCCTCTTCCTTAGGAGTTTGGTGGTTAGTTTCTCAATAAGCAGAGTGTGATGGCTAAGAATGTCATCTCTGGGTTCAAATCCCAGCTCTGCCACTTATTAGCAGTGTAATATTGGGAAAGTTACTTAACTCTCTGTGCAACAATCTCCCCATCTGAAACACTACAATACCTTTCTTTGTGGGGCTACTAAATGAATTAAATGAGTACTTGGCAGCCTGTAAGCTTAACTGCAGCTTTAACTTCAAGTAGAAAGTCTCTAGACTGATGTCTTTGTTATTCCAAGAAAAAAGGGGCTGCTGGATGACACAGGGGACAGTCAAGTGTGAGTCTGTGGACTTGAGGGCAGGGGCCCTATCTCTTCATCTTCACCCCACCCTGGCGTGAAGCTGCCTGGTGCCTGGGAGGCATCTGATAAATGCTTGCTGAACAATTGAATGACTTTTTGTAGCAGGCAGAGAATTTTTTTGGTCCTTGATGGCTCACATGAAACCTAAAGGTCACTTCTTCCTGCTGAGAAACTACATCCTGGTGCCTTTCTTCCCCTGGGGGTGGAAGGCAAGGGTCAGTGAAACTGGTGATGTGGCCTCTTCCTCCTGGGGTGGCAGATTTGGCCCCTCTGGGCCTTTTTTTCCTCCTAAAGGTTAGCTGTGTGGGGCATGAGCTCAGTCAGACAGGATGAAAATACGCCGAGGTTCCCTTGGCAGGGGGGATGTCTGGGATTTGGCTTGGGCTCGAGTCTTGGTGACTGTACGAGGTGAAGGCAGGCTGGGTGGCCCCTGCCTCCCTCCAATACTCCAAGCTGTGGTTTGTTCCCAAAGAGGCCTGAGGTGGGCTAGGGGATGGTGGTGGAGGCGGAGGGGATCCTAAGAGAATCTCAGCTCGGGTGCAGCTCTTCACAGCCTTTCAGCGGGCCTCTCTTCTGCCAACCCCAGGAGACTGCAGGTCCGCCAGGAGAGGGTGGCCAGCCCACCCTCTTTAAACTCTCCCTTCCCCTTCACTTTTGCCAAAACTGTAATGAATACTGGCTTTGGAATCAGACAGACCCAGGGTCAAAACCTCGCTCCGCCCTTACCAGCTGGGAATTCTGGGAGTCCACATAACCCCATAACCCCTCCAAGCCTCAATTTCCACGTCTTGAACCTTTGGACCTTGTTTGGATCCTGAAGGTCTGACTCCAAGTCTGTAGATACCAGCAGCTCACGTAAATTCTAACAACACTGTAGACTTTCTTTGAGAAAATATGTAAGAAAACTCAATTTAATTGAAGAAAAGTCAATTTAATTCTTGGCTTGACTTTCTAAAAAGCATGATTGAATGATCCCCTCCCTTTACTAAAATTATTTCCATCAGATTCCATTCTTTCCCATGTAAATTTTATAGTAACGATCTCAATCATCCAACAGTTTCTGGTCACTCTCAGATTTTTCACTGGACACCTTTGGCCCTCCCTGTATGGTGAGCACCCCTTCTGCCCAAAGTCATCAATGGTTTTTACAAGGTATGATTTTCCCAGGTCAAATTTTGTTTCTCTGAACTTCATTAAGAAAATGATTCTTCTGTTAGTTTCTAGTCACTAACAAATTTTACCATGTACAGTTTTAGCTGCTGTTGGTTTTATTTTCTGTTGATAATGTCTATCTCTCAAAATTTTGAATTGGTTAAAAGACAGACAATTGTTTCTTGACTAATCTATGAGAAATTTGGGACAATGTCCCTTAGTTATTGCTCTAAAAGGCAAGAAAAGTCTCTGGTGTCAAAATGCTAGAGGTTAAAAATACCCTGCTTTAGCAGTTGAGTAGAGAGAAGATTTCATCTGTAAAGTTGTTGAGATAAATAATCAATTCCTCAGCATATGGCCCAAGAGTGGCTTTCAAAACACACTGGGTTCTCTCACTCTGAGGTGCAGATTGGGCAGTGGGGAGAACCAGGGGTCTCAAGCCTCTCACAGATGCTGGGGTACAAAGGGCTGGAGTTGGGGGGAGGGAGGATGGTAGTCAGTGTAGGAAAGGAGGGATCCAGTGCTTGGAAGTGACTGCCTCTACCCCACCTCAGGTCCACCATGAAAAGACAGGTCTGTCCTTTGAGCAAGGGTGACTGGGCCTGCCACTATCTTGCTGGTTCAAGTCACTCTGGACCTTCATTTTTCCAGATGTGGGGCTGGACTAGAATTCTCCTGAGCTAGCTAAAGATTTTGGGGGTGAAGGGTCAGTGTAGGTGAAGACAACACTGACCTCAGTCAGAGGACCAGAGCTGAAGTTCCAGCTGTGCAACCTTGGGCCAGCCACTCAACTCACTGTGTGCTCTAGGGACATTACAGAGGCTCATCTGATCCTTCCCACACCTCTCTGAGGAGGTACTTGCAGTCTCTCCATTTTACAGGTGGCAAGACTGATGCTCAGAGAG